TAGATTTCAACAACTATAACAATTGATCAGAAAGTTTTTAGACAAGGTGTTTATTCACTTTCGACTTGCTAGAAAGTATTGACGATGAGATAAGACTAGAATCTTATGTTTATTTCCAAATATGAACTTAGAAATTTTGTCTCTTACGATTCGAAACTGGTAGATTAGAAGCTATGGTATAAACATTACTGGAAGTTTTTTTTTTTTGTCTTTTGACAAAAATATTTGTAGCCTCATTTGAGTAACGGCTACAGCTTAAAAGGAACCTCTTCAACTACCTTCTTCTAATTTCAATGATTTTTTGCCTACAGGGTGTTTCATAAGTTTTGGGACGCGACAAAATTTGTTGATATGGATACATAGAACAATTTTGTTATAATAATAAAAATATAAACATGATAATGTCATGATGAATTTTTCGAAATCGACTTATGATTTTGTTTTTTTTTTGGAAGATTTTCTAGTAAAGTGCTGAACATATTTATATAAGAAATAATGTAGAGGTAATCAATATCTAGTTATCTTAATTGTTTATTCGAGGTTCATTACGAGCTACTAGTCATATATTGGGTCAAGCTATATGCTCAGTATGTGATAGAGCCTATCGAGTCCTACCCAGACCCGGTCGGGTTTGGATCCGATGGACTCTACCACTTACTGAGCATATAGCCTCGAATAAACGATAAAGATAGCTAGATATTGATTACATCTACGTTATTTCTTAAATAAATATGTGCAGCACTTTATTAGAAAATCTTTAAAAACAAAATCATATAAGTCGATTTCGAAAAATTCATCATGACATTATTATATTTACATTTTTATTATTATAATGGAAAATGTCATTCAATAATATATCATTTGAAAGGTCGTTACAAGTACTCGAAGTTGATATAGAAACATAATGGGTTAGACATTCTTCTATGTGTTCATACGTTCCAAGACTTATGAAACATCCTGTATAGTATTCTAATAAAAACTGGATTCCTATTGAGATATAATTAAGCTATCGAATTTTGATCTGAAATTTTGTACATATAGAGAACTCAACTAGATTAGCTTCTATAAAAGAAATTCAGAAGTTTTGAACAAAATGTTTCCGAAATATGAAGTTTTTATGTTGTATACATAATCCTTGGAAAAGGGTCTATATCTTAAAAGTCTTAAAATCTCGAACATACTTTATTTAAAACTTCTGATTTATTTTTATGAAAGTTAGTCTAATTGAGTTTTGACTCATCTGAAATGTTTTCAAATAGATCAAAATGAACAAACATTTTGTCTCGAAAAACTTTCCAAACAACTATTATTCTCAATTATTACTCTATTATTATTTTAGGAAGGAGATGATAAACATAAACGATGGGATGGTATGGTAGGTGAATTATTAAATTATCAAGCTGATATGATTATAGCTCCATTAACAATTAGTCCTGAACGTGCCGAAGATATTGAATTTACTAAACCATTTAAATATCAAGGTATTACAATTCTTGTAAAAAAGGTAAATTATTTTTGTTGTTTAGAAAAATTTTTAAATTAAAATATAACAAATATTTAGACTACAAGTTCATCAAATTTAGCATCATTTTTACAACCATTTGAAAGAAATTTATGGATGATGGTTTTATTATCTGTACATGTTGTTGCTGTTGTTTTATATTTACTTGATCGTTTTTCACCATTTGGTCGATTTCGTTTTTCATCACAACAAAAAATTGAACGTGGAAATGGTTTAACTATTGAAGCTAATACAGAAGAAGATGCACTTAATCTATCACGTGCACTTTGGTTTACATGGGGAATTTTATTAAATTCAGGAATTGGAGAAGGTTTGAAAAATCAAAAACAAAAAAGAAATTAAACTATTTTTATTTGATTTATATTATTCGTTTAGGAACACCGAGAAGTTTTTCTGCTCGTGTTCTTGGTATGGTTTGGGCAGGTTTTGCTATGATTATGGTAGCTTCTTATACAGCTAATTTAGCTGCTTTTCTTGTGCTCGATCGACCTGATGCAAGTATATCAGGAATTAATGATGCTCGAGTATGTTTATTGAAATTTTAAATAGACTTATTTAATTTTACATTTTTTAATACTATTAGTTAAGAAATCCTCAAGATAATTTTACATATGCAACAGTCAAGGGATCATCTGTTGATATGTATTTCAAACGACAAGTTGGTATGTATAAATATTTTCGACTATTCGAACGATTGCTGTCGTAGTTATCTCTAGTTCGAGATCATTTTAAAATAATTGAGATATTGTTTTCTCATTAAGAATATCTGTTGAAGAGCAAATGCTAGTTTTTTATAAATTTCAGTAAAAACTTCTCATAACACAACAAGTCTGTTTTGATATTTTTAGAATTGCAGAACTGAATGCAATCGAATTAATCCTACAACATGGGTTTACTGTCTCAGATCTTGACTATAGTGACGAACAAATATTTAGAGCAATTGTATTTTTAAGTTTTCTTCTCGATCGTAATACTTAGCAAGAATCTGTAGAAAACATTTATGTAGTTGAAAGGATTGGTAAGTTCGAAGACTTCAAAATAAGCTTTCTGAAGTCTTCGAACGCACAAATCCTTTCAGCTACACAAATGTTTATTTTTTTTTCAGATTCTTACTAGATATTACTACCAATATACAACTGCTCTATACTTATATCCGTCACTATATATATATCATGGGCTTTTGATAATAATAAAGTACACATATGGGGCTGCCTTTATTGCTAGTAAAAAACAAATATCCAGCAGTAGTAGAGCTTATTGAATAGCACAATGACAAACAAAAAAAATTTATGAGTGCATATTTTCGTAAGGGAAAGAATAATAGCATTTCTTTTCAGAACTGCATCTATGGGAGATCTCGATATACTGTTATATGTATATCTTGATAAATTTAGAAATATTGATATTGATTATTTTCCCAAAGTAATGATTTGATTCGGTGATGCTTTTTTATATTGATCATATGACAATTGTAATAAATCAATGCATCACTACTCATCATTCTTGACCTTCCTCTCCCCGCTCCCCGTTCGTTGCTATGTAAGAAGCTGCAAAACTTCGACTTAAAACTTACACTCACTATGATGTTAGTTCTACAAAAAACAAATTATTTATTCATAGAATTTTCGACTATGTATCGAACAATGGAATCAAAAAATTATTTAACAGCTGAAGATGCAATACAAGATTTAATAGACGAGTAAAGAAATAAAATAAAATCATAGAAAAATTATTCGTTTATTTTCTATTTTTTCTTCTAGACATTTAAAAGCATTTATTTGGGATTCACCAAGACTTGAATATGAAGCAGCACAAGATTGTGATTTAGTTACAGCTGGTGAATTATTTGGACGATCAAGTTATGGAATTGCATTAAGAAAAAAAGATGCATGGATTAATCCATTATCACATGCAATATTATCATTTCATGAAAAAGGTTTTATGGAAAAACTTGATAATGAATGGATTTTTTCTAAAGGGTATATTTTATTTATTTGATTATATATATATATAATGAATTTAATTTTTTTAGAGCAAAAGAATGTCCAGATCGATCATCATCACCAGCAACACTTCGTGTAAATAATATGCTTGGTAAGAAAAAAAAAATTTTTTGTATTGTAATATTAGTTTTATTATTAATTATAAATAATTTAGGTGTTTTTCTACTTGTGGCTGGTGGAATATTTGCTGGATTTTTTCTTCTTGCTATTGAAATAGCATTTAAAAGACGTAAAGAAAAATTAGAAAAAGAAATGGAAGTATCTCGAAATGCACTTCTACATTGGAGAAAAAAAATTGAGGTAAATTATTTATTATTTATAAATATATCATATATCATTGTTTATTTAATGAAATTACTTAAAAATATTGTAAAACATAATTGATATACAATCTTGTTATCGAGCTAATGGAACAAACAGACGATTGACTGACACCTCTAACCTTCAGAAGACACTGAAATGTTTGTCAAAGTCTTCTCAATTATGACAGAATCCTATTTGGCAATTAAAGAAATAAGTCTTTTCTTACATTCAATTACAAATCGTTATAGTATTGAAAACAATTATAATTAGACCCTGTCTAGTTTGAATTTTCCGGACAAGGTCGAACCATACTTTGATACTCTCAATGAAATTGTCTAATCGAAATTCGATAGTCGTTCCAAAGATACAAGATATGTTTTTTTTTTTGACTTTTTGTATTTGATAATTAGTGGATCGCATACATTTCTCAGATGAGTAGAGTCTATCGGGTCCAAAATTTTTGGACTCGGACCAGCCCGACAATCCCTAATAGAGCTTTTCGAAGATTTATATTAGATAACATTGGAATATCTAATACTATTAAGCATTCATTTATGATTCGATAGAGTCATTCAGCGACTGAATCACTGGTTTGAGTTCGGTTCATTATCAATCCTTGATATAAAACAATTGATCATTGCCTACAGCATGACAATGTCACAAAAGATGATAATTCAATCAGTTATTTTTCTTATACATTTGCCTTTCGAAAATTAGTCCGATTTCTATTACTTCTATAATGATATAAATCGTAATTTTCTACTTCTTGATATTTATACGAATTCTAAGAAAAATTGTTTAAATTTTCTTTTTTAACTATAGAAACGTAAACAACGTTCAATAGTATATGAATCTGATAATCAACAACAACAACAACCAACAGCTGATACAGATTCACTTAATGAATTATCATCAAATCGAATCGATCATCATAAACTATCCAATATGACGAATAATACAACAAATTTAATCTATTAATAATAATACAAAAAGATGAAAATTATATTTTTTTTTGTAGGCGTGTGTATTATGTTCAATTTTAATTTTTTTTTGTTTCGATCTAGTCATCATTGTCTGATAGTTGTTTTTGTAGTGTATTATTTCTTTAATTATTCAAAAAAAAAAATAAAATTATTTCCAATTTTGTCATACACTAGTCAGTCAATTCAAAGATGGAAGTGAAGAGAGACATTCGTCTTCTTCAAGTATTACATTAATTGATTTTTTAAATAATTATATCCGCCTATAATTACCATTCTTTTTCAAAGTCTTAGATTCAATCTGTGACTGTTCGAACTGACATATGACAATTTACGAACAGAAGACATTCTTAGACAAAAAAAAAATTATAAAAGAATATTTCTATTAGCTCTTAGATATAGAAATATGAATAGCAACGATGATTGACAACGTATCCTTCTTCTTTTTTTTTCTTTCTTTTCTGCTTTTCATCAAGAACAGAGAACTAATATTAATCTATGCGTAACATCTTGTGCTACAACTGAGTAAACGAACAATCCACATACGTATGCATCATCATTAACATCATCTATTGCTGCTTTATGTTCTTTATATGTGTGAGAGAGAGAGAGAGAGAGTATTAGTAGAACGATGTCATTCTGGGAAAACTAACCAAGAGAGAATTGTCATAATAGATCGCGATAGAGAATATACACATCTTTCATCTACACAAGTTGAAGGAGAACATTACCGATGACCATGAATTGTATCGTTAGTTGTATAAAGCAGCGACTTCTACTTTACTTCACTTGATCATAGTCAATTTGATTGATACAGGATATTTATTAGAAGTCGTGGAAAAAAAAATTGATAAACTTATTTGTTATGGTACGTAAAAAAGAAAATTTATGATTATGCAAATATTTGCTAAATATTTTCAATCAGATTAAGACATATGTTTTTATCATTATATTCTTCATTTTAATAGGTTTTTATTATTTTCATCTATATATTTCAATGATAATTGAAACTCGAGAAAGTCTCCTTCATTCTTTTGAACGTCGTCCTCCTCGTCGTCGGCATCATACATTAGATAATGCAACATTAGATCAATTTAATTTTATTTGTGTACCATTAAATCTCGACGAGGTAGACGTTTTTTTTTTCTTTCTTTGTATTTATTAACTACTAATATCAATTAACCTTGATCCATATGGTATATACGTAATAGACATCTGTAAATGAAAGATTTTTTTTTTTTCTTACTAACACTTATCATATTAGAGTTCACAAAACTTATTATAAGAAAAATCTCTTGAAATAAATCATTTTTTATTTTTCATATTTATATAGGCACCAAATAATTCATTATCATCTCATTATAATTTAACTAGTACATCTTCAAACAATTTTTTAAATTTAAAACCAATAAGATTATCATCACCTACACGTCGTGTTCGTTTTAAACTTGATGAAAATGATAAAAATGGAGATAATGATAATAATGATGAACATATACATTCATCAGATATTGTTCGATTTCCAAAGGATTATTCAATTCATCGTGTTGAATTTCAAATTCCAATGCATACTGGTATCATCAATATATATATATATACTCAATGTTTGCCTTTTTTTTTTTCATTCAAGATATCAATCCATGGTTAAATATTGACTGTTCATCTGCATTGTCTACATTAGCTAAAACACGTTCATTAACATCACAAAAAATTGATATCAGTTATAATAATAACAATAATAATGCAACGTATCAACAAACCATAATACCATCCATCAATTCTCCAATAGTACGTAAGAACAAAAGAATAATGTTCATTTCATATTATTAAAAGAATGTATTATTCAAGATCGATTATGTATTATAAAAGAAACAATGATATTTTAACCTTCTGTTACTAGTTTATAATACTTGATTGGCACGATAAGACTATAGATATGTGATAGGATATTGTTTGATTATAAACTGATATTATTTAACATATCTATGTATATGTATGAATGATTGACATATTGTTTATTGTCCAAAATACTCTTCTTTGGTTGGTATTTATTCATTATAATTGTTAACGATTATGTTAACAATTATTTATTTTTCTTTTTATGTTGGGAGTATCCTGCAGCGACTAGTTAATTTATTTTCATGAAAAAAAAAATATATATATATGAAGAGAATTAAAAAGATCAAAGAAGAAAAGATCGAAGTGAACATAGTATAATCCAGAATAGTTTTCTTCTTCTTTCGTTCTGATCTGATGTTGTTCGTTCGTTCGTCTCTATATTTGTTTTGTAGAGCAACAAAAACAAGCAATTCATCGCTATAGACCCTCTTCGTTCTCGTCAGCAATCGATTCTTTTCTGGTTTCCCTCTTCTTTCTCTCTTTTTTTTTTACAGTCAGTCGGTGCACCATCACGTTCGACGGCAAAGCAAAAAAAAGTCTTATCTATAAAGCAAAAACAACAACAACAACACCGAACGTGCGGACGTTCTTTAGTCGTCTTCTCTTTTGCTTTCTTCTTCTCAGCGTTAGGAACCGTAGCCTATCAATATATATATATATATATATATTTTTTAATCTCATTATTATGTTTATGAATGTGCCTCAGAAATAAAAAAAAAAGAACAAACGATCGATTGTACTTTCAATCATCAATTGATCAAAGTTTGATCAGTATATACCCATTGTTGACATTTTCATACCGTTATACTATTGATATATGAATATTCTTTCAACAGCATAGAAAATAAGTTTGATTTATACTTATTTGGTAATGGATAAAACAAAGAAAATATTTCCACCTAATGCTGTTTGTTGCTGTCAGCAGGTAGTAGAAAATAAAATAGATATTAATTTGATATTTAGTTTTTACAAATACAATATATATATATATAGACCTTTTCTTTTCTGCATTATTGAATTTTTTCTTCTGTATTTACTTAATAATTTCATACTTTGGCAAACATCAAAGGAAAGATTTTTTTTTTCTTCTTTGTTTGTTTTTTTTTATATATTTTAACTAATATTTGTTATATAAAACCTTGAGTATAGTACGATAAAACTATATGTTCATCAAATCCAATGTTTATCTTCTCACTAATTGTATAAAAAATATGTTATTGTTTCCGATAGAAAGTTAATTATAAATAAAAGATAAACATTGAATTACAATGTATTACAAAAAAAAAAAATTTCTTTATCTTCTGATTTTTGGAATTTTAATATTTGTTCATCTTTTTTTTTTTTTTATGATTTATTCAAAACATGACATTAATCAATCATCATATAAACTAATATATGTTCATGATATGCCATTTGACGTTTTCTTTTTTTTGACATACAAACATACTCTTTACAATAATAACAATATTGTCATTACTTTCACCTTTAATCTTTCTCCCTCTTTACACTCATTGTGTTATTACTATTGCTTGTTTGATCTGTTGTCTGATGAAAATTGATTATTGTATAATAACTAGCGAAGGATAGACAAGAACATTTGTTCAGTCAATAAAACGGTTAAGACAAGAAAAGTGTAAGCAGTGTCGAGTATAAATATGACATTGTAGCGTCATATGTTAAATAGGTTAACGCGTGATACAAAGGAGGATAAAACCTTACTTTTCTTTTTTTTTTTTTTTACTTCTAACAAAATATACTTGAGATATAAAGAGGTTTATATTGTGTTGAATCAAATACATATGCTAAAATAAAAATAAAAAAAAAAAAGATAATTTATGCGTATAGATAATATAATCTATTATATTCTTCTAGTTATCGACTATCGATTGTAACAAAACTCAAACACAGTGGTACAAAGATATGTATTGTCAAATACATAAATTACCTGAAAATAAAAAAGGTAAATTAATTGAAAAAAAAAAAAAAAACTTTTATTGTAATGATATACAAAAAACTTAAAAATAGTTCGAAAGATTAGTTTCAAAAAAAAAATCTAATCATGATTTAGATGTCCTTCTTGTCAAATTACCTCATACACCTTCTCGATATCAAGAATATTATCAGAACCAAGGTTTGTTAATAATATATTCTCCAAACATCCCATATCAATAGACATGTTGCTTTCCAGTTTTTGCTTCTTTTGTTGTCTATGAAAACGTTGAGTAAAGTACATCAACATTCTCTTAATGGCTTTTAATATATTGTACAATACTTTGTATATGTGATGAATTTCAAGTAGATGCTAAAGAACAGTTTTTACATTTTATACAATCCATTCTAATAGTCTCATTGTATATGAACGATAACATACAATCGTACTCATTTACTGCGATAATACATAATACAATAGGGATGTTTGAAAATGAACTTTCTCTTTTTTTTTTTCTATTATATATGATAAATGCTAAATCGTTATCTAAATATTGTATCCAAACATCTATCGTGGGTCGAAATTACTTTTTTTTTTGTTTTTGTTATATTCTATTGATCCATCGTTGTCTTTCTATGTATAGGTCTTACTGTTTGTATTGCATGATGTTATCTTTTCTTTATCCATATTCAATTGCATGAAAGAATTAATTTATAAAAAATGTCATGTTTAAATGATATTTTTCTTTTTTTTTAGACGAACAACAAAATCCATATAAACCAACATATACATTTCCTGAAGAATTTGACGGTAATTTAGAACGTATGGAAGATTATATGCGAAAAGCAGCTTTGCAAAATATCGATGACGATTATCGTAAGATTGAACAAAAGATAATGTATTGAAGTAAATTAATTATTTTTTATAGGGCACATTTCGCTCTCACCTGTACGAACATCAACTACAGCTGTGAAGTAAGAGATTATTCATAAGATCTATATCTCTATACTTTAATTTTCTTATTAAAGAGATCATAAAGTAATACCAAAACGAGATACAGAAAAAAAACTAACACGTTTTGATGATCAATTATCATCACCTATAATGACAGGGTCATCAATAGAACGAGCTAAATCAGTAAGTAATAAAAAAAAATAAGTAATATATAAGTTCATATGCACATCTGTTCATTAACTCAATAGAGTAATGATGCTTCGCCATCATCTATAATGATCAATTCAAAACCGAATACTAGCTAGTAAGTTCATTGATGCGTAATAATTTTTTATGGTGGTTACTATTCATAATAGTCGAACATCATCATCAATAATAGATGATGAACAAAAATTAATCTATAAACGAATATTACGTGGTGGAGATATTCCATCAGTTGGTTTACAAAAACTTTCTATTAACAATCGAGGTAGGCATTTTGGTTTCTTTTCTTTTTTTTTTTTTTTTTTTGTGATGTGAATAAGAATATATCGGCAACAGCTGGTATGGAAAAAAGAAGACAAAAAAAAATCGAGGAATAGAAATTAAAAGAAACGATCATTTTTTTGTTGTGTAAGTTCATGATGAAAATTTCATCTTCATCAAAAGATCGTCCTTTAATTCTTACAAATAATTGTTCATTATCGCCGAAATTATTTGCTTATTATTCTATACATTGGGAACAAAATCAAACGAATCAGTCAAATAATCTAATTGACAGTAATATGCGTTTTGAAATAAATTCATGTTTATATTTTCAAAATACGAATGATAATGAATTAGAACAAATACGTCAAGATGGTTGTGGATATATTATAACTTATCCACCTCATATTCATCCAACAGATAATTTACAAATATATAATTTTGATCGTACAAAAAATTTTCTTTTAACATCAAATGATGTTTATTCTGATGACAGTAAGAGAAATTATATTTATTTCATTAAGAAAATCATTAATATAATAGAAAGATTAAATTAAATTTAAAATAAATAATAATATAAAAATAGAATCTAGATAAATGGTTTACTGATAAAATTATAAAATAAGGAAGATGTCGTATTCTCTCGCCTTCTTTTTTTTTTTTTCTTTTTTATTACTTATTCTTATCAGTATATTTCTATTAGAAAGTGTCAAATAAGTGTCGGATCGATGCATTTAACCTTTTAACTAGTTATTCTTTTTTTGCTTTTATCAGCTTACATCATATACAAGATGCTTTCAATTTCATCAGTACATGTATAAGTTTAATTTTTTTTCTGTTTCTTTTTTCTTTTAAAAAGTCTGCATATATTGAGATGGTTATGTATAGTAGAAGAAGAAACCAATGAACAACAACATCAAAGAACATACTTATACATACATATGCACATTCATCTTTTCTATATAACTATAAAAAAGTGTTAGCATTTGGTGACCTTGAGAGATAGTGAGAAGGCCTTTTTGTTTCTCTCAACCTCGTTATGATGAGACATCTGTCTCGTGTCGTTTGATATTCATAAATATAATGTGTGATTAGAAGAGAATGAAATAGAAGCAGAAGAGCGAAAGAGTTGTATGTTAACGTACAGATTGCATAAATATATTTGACCTCGACAACACAGGAAGGCAACGTAGTATATAAAAAAAACCAATATTGACAAGCTAGTTATTCATTGATTTCTAAAGAGTAATTAGAAATGATGATTACTATCTGCACCTGTGGTTATATATAGCCTAGCTATTTCATCGAAAAGCCTTGAATCGATATGCATACTTTGATCTTTTTTTGAGTAATTGGTTTCAATCGATCTGTTTTTCTTTTGATTGGTATGTATGTGCCTCTTTTATTCACGTTCCAAATATTATATTTCGAATTATACTAAATTTCTTTTTTTTTTTTTTTTTTTTAATTCAATTTGCTTAGATTTTTAATATTTCGTGTTATATGTCACAGTAATATAAATCGAGAATATATGAGAACGTTGTTCATCGTAACAACTACAAAAAAATAAAAAAAAGATCGAAGAATATATGCGTATTCGAGATGCTTTGATGATGATTCAATGTGCGTTTGTGTATGTGTGCTTATGTGAATACACATAGACAGAGCATCAACATCAATAACATAGGCATGCATATAAAAAGAGAACACTTATTTACACATATTTACATGACTGGGAGGCATCGAGAGGCAGGAGGAACGAGAAGGAAAACGAGAGAAAAAAAAGAATCTAAAGCGAAATATTGCCATAACTATATATCAACACTATTGTACATTTACTCTAGCTTCCTTCGCTTGTTTTTTTTCCTCCTTTTCTCTCCCTCTCTCTCTCTCTCTCTTTTTCTTTTCTCCTCCTCTTTTTTTTTTTTTTTTTGGGCAATTTTTTCATATTTATTCTCTTCTATTCTCTCGGCGTCACACTGTGATGGCGATCATTGTGAGAATGTGCGTATTTTTTTTTTCATACGTATGAGAGAAAGAAAAAAAGAAAAATAGAGCTCAGTAGTAATTAACGAAAAGAAGACAAAGAAAAAAAAATAGTCAATAGAATTACTCTTCATATACGCAGAGTATACCTACACAATTAGACTAAGAACAACATCGATTATCATCGTTGTCTGTTCAGTATATATCTATATATATGTGTGTGTGTGTATATGTATATCCGCTCATAACACTTCACTTGTAGATAAATAGACACAAGCCTTTCTTTTTTTTTCCTCGGTTCGCTTTATCTCTATCATTTCCACGGCTCATTGACAAAAAGTAGGCGACAAACGGCCAGGTAGTGTGCATACATAATATACATACCGGACCGTCATCATATTACGAAGATTCGAATGAGTGTCAGTCATTCATTATAATTGTGCGATCAACCATATTGACAAAGAAGAAGAAGAAGAAGAAGAAGAAGAAAAAAAAAACCGGGAACTATTACCGCTTTTCGTATTCGTTGTATTAAAATAAATGGCAGACGAAAAGGTTATTAGTAAAATCGAAACTGACACTACTGGTGATGGTGTTAATGAACTTGTTCGTATTGTTAATAATCATCTTAATCCTGTTTCTTCAAATGTAAGTTCAACACGTACATATACTCCACCATTAATGGGTACATCGGCTCGTGCTGCTAAACGTCGAATTGATAGTGATTCTGGACCAATACGTATTGAAGGTACAGATACATATAATCAACAATTACAACATCATTATCAAAATGTTCGACAAATATTAGATGATCAACAGCAAGATTTAAATATATCAAATGTTGATACATCATCTGAGTCTCGACAATCTTTTAGTGCTAAACGAGATTTTTTTGAACAACGTTTTAAAACGCCACCACCTACATATGATGCTCCACCACGACAACAACAACCACAACAAATAATTACAACAATTACGACAACAACATCAGTGCCAACAACAAATATTCATGATCGTACAAGTTCTTCATCGAATGAATCACCATCAGTTGATCGCGTACTTGAGCAAGCTGTAGAATTACAAAAAATGAGTAATATTAATACAATGAAAAATGATTCACAAACACCAGTTATTATTGAACGTACCGAAGAATATCAAGTATTTTTAGATTCATCAAATCATGAAATTCGTCGTACACCAAGTATTTCACGTACGTCTATTGTTAATGTAACTAAAACTGGTTATGCAACAGATCTTGATCAAGCACAAGCACAAGTTGAACGTCTTAGTGATGATCATCAAGCTATACAACATTTAACACGTATACTTCAAGAACATAATGTAACAACAATTAATGAATATAAACGTTTACCATCACAAACAAATCAAAATCTTACAGCAATATCAACAGTACCATCTGATGTTCTTAATGATCGAACTAATTTACCAATAACAAGTGAATATACTGTTATTGATGCATTAGTTAATAATCCTATAGGAACAATTGATGGTAAATATCATAATTTATTAAATAAACGTTATAATGATATTCGAACAAATTTACGAAATCCAGAATATATAAATTCATTAAAACAATCAACAACAACAACAACAACAAAAAGTAAAGAATCAAAAAAGAAATCAAAAGAAAAAAAACCAAAAGAAAAAAAATCTAAGAAAAAATCATTATCATCATCAAAAACTGATACTATAGGACAAACAGCAGTTACATCTCCTGTCAACACTCCCGAATCATTATTAAATCAAACAACAGAACCAATTATAACAACAGCATTAGTCGAACAAACTCCATTAATTGATCCAAAAGAAAAGAAAAAACAAGATAAAGAAAATAAGAAAGCATCAAAAAAAAAATCTAAACAAAAATCAAAAAATGAAGATTATCAAGTCGTTGATGCCATTATCAGTAGTCCAATATCACTTCGTCTACCAGATTCTTATCTCGTCAAATATAATGTTAATCCGTCACGATCTCTATCATCACCTCTTCAATCTAATCCATCATCAGTAACACCAAATACAGTTGTAGTAACAACAACAACGACAGCAACACCAAAAGATAATACTATTTCTGTATCAGAAAAAAATCAAACATTGTATCATCTTGTAAAAATTGTTAGTGAACTTCAAGCACATCATGCAGCTGCTTTAAAATCTGCATTAAATACTGTACCATCAAAAACGACTACAACAACAATTGGTTCAAAAGCACCAATCGTTCTAACTAAACAATCAGTACCTGTTATACATGGAATTGTTCATCAACAACCTTTATTAGAACAACAACAACAACGTCCAATTATTTCTTCTTCTCATCATATTGAAACAAATCTACAATCTGAACCAGTTAAACCACGTGTTATTTATCGTTATATGGATGAACAAGGACATATACTTAAAATATCATCTGTACCACCATCTGAATTACGTGACCAACCAGCACAACAATATACATCTTATACTACAGAATCACCATATCTTTATGGTAGACATATTGCTACTGATGACGAACGTCGTCATCCATTACCACAATATGAACAACATGCTACATGGCAAGGTGAACCTAAATTACCAACAACTGTAACACGAGAAGATTTAGAATTACGTGATAAACGTGTACCACAATTAAGTGAACAATATATACCAAATGGACGAACAATACCTGTTTTAATTGAACATGAACGTACATTAAAACATTCTTCTCAACCACCACCACCTCCACAACGAACATATCATCATCCAAATCAACAAAATGTTAAATTAGCTTGGTTACCACTTTCATATCCAGCTGATCAAGCTCTACCAACTGGTACGGCTGGTTATGATACAGATTCAACAATAAGTGACCGTTCAGCAGCACATCGTGCATATGATTATGTACCAATCGATAGTCAATATCGTTATTCTAATCGACCATTTTATGAAGATTATCATTATAATCGTTCGCCAGGTGCAACCTATTATCGACAGCCACCATCAGTATATTGCAGTGGCCGTGGTATGTCACCTGAATATGGTGGTTTATCTCGTAATTATATTGAAGTATTTCGTGGTGGTGATTTTCGTGAAACAAAACCAAGTGAAATATATTCTTTACCATTAACGGAACAAATGCGAACATCACCTAATTATCCTTCAAGTGGTCGTCATTCACGTTATGATCAATATCAATCAGAAAGATATGGTACAATGTTAAATCGTAATAATACAATACCATCATCATCATCACAACAAATGCATTATTATAATTCATTACCAAAAACACGTTATCAACCTAACATTCCACCATCAACTGTACATGCATCATCTTATTATACACATCGTAGTCCTTATCATCATCGTACAGTTCAAAGTAGTCCAAATCCAGATTGTAAAAATTATGTTCGTCATTCAAAATCATTTGATTATCGTCCATTACGTACAAAACTTCAACGTGAATATAAAATTACACCTAATTTACTTGTTGATGAATGGGATTATCCACAAGCAACGGATAATATTAAATATTCAACAACAACAACAGCATCAACGACAAATCGAAGTGGTGTTTCATCACCAGATGATGTTTTTATTAGTAATCGAACAAATCAGGCATAGCCTTGAATATTATTAAAGAAGAAAGATTATACGAGAGAAAGAAATATAAAAAAACACTATACTCATTTAACTATCTTTCTTCTCTTTCTTTTATATATGCTTATATTCGTTTGTTTCGTTTTTTTTTTTTTTTTCTTGACTTTTTTTTCTCATCTAGATTAATCGATCGTTACCGACTATTTTTAAACAGAGTAGAAATGCACTTTTCTTTTCGTAATAGGCATATACAAAACATTACTTTTTATATTATGCCGTGTTATACACATATAAATCGAGTAAACATGAGAACGAAATGTGTAAGCGACTGTCCCATTAGAATAGTTGCCCATCTTCGATAGAATGATAGTAACAAAAGATATAGGGTATATGTATATTGTACATTACGTCGTTATCGATGAACGTGCTTACGTAATCTATCACTTGTCTCAATTCATATCAAAATAGTTGCTAGCTTATACTTAACGTTCAAGTGGATGAATATGCTTATAGTGGATATATATATATATATATCTGTTTCTTGAAATATTATATAACAATACTTTCAATGAATAAATGTATTCAACAACATCTGCCAAAGAAAAGCAGCATTATTACTTTTTTTTCTATTGACGTATGTTTGTTTTAATTTATATAACAGAGTACTAGATTAATAATAATAACAAATGTATATGTAACAGAAATTCTCATCAGACCCGATTAAAAAAAAATTATTCATTCAGAAGTATTTCAAGATCATCAGAATAGGAGAAGTTAAACGTTTTTTTTTTGGGAATTACCTTCCCTCCTATTCGGAACATCTCTATATAGATTCGAAGTATGTTATTTGAAGATGAAATTAGAAATAATTTTCTTTTTTTTTTTTTAAATATTTTCATCTTGTAGAATTTAAATGGTATGTTGGTAAGTAAATAAGATAAGGGTAACTATAGATCTGTTATAACGTTTCATAGAACCATCTTTTGGTTTTAATAAAAATCGTTCTAATTCTACTATTAAATCATCATTACCATCATTTTTTGATAATAATCAGTTTCGTAAGTTTTTTTTTTTGTGTGTGTGTATAATATGTTTACTAAACTACATTAAGACAGATTTAGAAGAAAAAAAAAACAATGATGTGTTTTACTTACGAACACAAAAGTGTATATAACTTTATGATGAATCCTAGATTCATTTATTGACTAATCATTATTTTCTATGATTTATAAATAATTTATTCTATAGAAAAATCAAATGAACAACAGGATCATGATCTTTTGGAATTAAATCGACAAAAACTTCAATCGTAAGTTAATATTAATCTTTTGAATTTGTTGTTGTCATATTTCTTATATTTTTTAAGTCTAATAAATGATTCACAACCAATTTATAAAGCATTTGCTTTACATAATTTTTATCCTGAAACGAATAGGTATGATGAATAAATTTTTTGAAATAATATTTATTTGTTTGCTTTGCTTTTTTTTTTAAAGAGAATTATCATTTAAAAAAGGTGATACAATACTTGTTAAACGTCGTATTAATGATGATTGGCTTGAAGGTGAACATCAAGGTTTAACAGGAATATTTCCTCTTAATCATGTTGAATTATTTCCATATGAAATAATTGAACAAGAAAATCCTAATGAAAAAGAACAACAAATAGAAGGTGAAGCTATTGTTAAATATGATTTTATACCAGAGAAAACCTATGAATTACAATTAAGAAAAGTTTGTTTATAGAATTCTAACGAAACAAAAAAAAAACCTAATTTCATAAAATTGAATTTTTTTTTTTTGTTTTAGGGTGATAAAGTTATTCTACTACGAAAATTTGATAATGACTGGTATGAAGGACGACTTAATCATGTTGAAGGTATTTTTCCTGTTGATTATGTTGAAACCATAAGAGAACCAAAGAGTAAGAATTTTATTTTAATTCAATTTTATTTAATTCAAAAATTCAAGGTAAATCATTAAAACAATCAAATCAAAATGAACATACAACAAATACTATTAAAATGCCAAAAAGTGCATTAAAAAATTCTACTCGATTACAACAAACAGCTACAGAAAAAATAAATATTCTTCCAGAATTATCAATACCAATGCAGAAGTAAGTTTAATATACAGAATGATCGAAAAGTTGCCGAGCAATCTTTGATTGCGAATAACAACAAGAGAGAGAATTACGATTTTCATCATTCAATGAAGATGGCTTAAGGGAAGTTCATTATTCCGAAATACGTGTGTTTTAATTTTACGAAGTTACGTTGCTAACAAATAATTTTTGCCCATATTAGAGAGTTGCGGGTCCTTCTGGATCCGTCCGAGTCCAAAGTTTTATTTTTTTGAGTCCGGATTCATAAAAATGTGGACTCGTAGTTCCTTAGCCCATATATATATATATATTTCTTTCATTTAGAAATCATTTGTTTTTTAATTTATAGATGTCAAGTACTTTATGATTATACACCACAAAATTCAGATGAACTTGAAATTCATGTTGGAGATATAATTAATATTGTTGAAATTTGTGATGATGGATGGTATTGTGGAATAATGGAAAAATCTAATCATGGAAATAATATGGAATTTGGAACATTTCCAGGCAATTATGTTAAATTATTACCTGTTTGAAATAAGAAAACAAAACAAAAAAAAGATAACAAGAAACAATTCTACAATGAAAATGTTTCTCAAAATAGTGATCTGCAATGTGCTGAAACTTTTGTTTTATTTATTTATTTTTTCTTCTGCATTGACAGCAATATTTCTCTTCTCTTTTTTTTTTTTTCTTATTGTATATCTCTAGTCGATATATATATATATATATTGAAATCTATTAAGAAATAGAAAATTATGTTATCTAAAATTAATTGAATATAATAATAATTCTTAATAATGAATAAACAAAGAAAATTATAGAACAATTTTATCTACTATTTTATTTAAAATCTAAAGAAAACCTCGTAAAATTCGATGATTATGAATTTATTATTTTGTAAAAAGAAGAATATCGTAGTAAAATATCAACAATGCATTTCGAATCCTTTTTTTGTTATTGAAAAGAATCTATTAGGAGTTTCCTGTGATGCCTAAAAAAAGCTGTTCTCACTCATGCTTTGCGTATGTCTTCTTGATTAGCGGAAAATTATGTTTGCAAGGCAGAATCAGAATTGGAAAAGGCGCAAATTGAAAAATACCCGCAAACCAGAATCAATTGAAAGAGACAAACCTTTCTGCATTATGCAAACAAGCATAAATAGATATAACTCGATTTAATACAAGGATATCACTTCCCTTCAAGGTTGTCTAGTGTTAGAAATTACATATCTTACAGATCATTTTTTTAACATGTAGTCTTATTGAAAGTGTCGAAGATAAACCAAATAGAAATGTCGATCGTGAGTTGTGGTAGTTTGTCTATAATTATCACACATCATCGAGTAATGATGAAATAATAGTTAAAATTATTATGAACGAAAATGAGAAAAATAAGAGAGGGACTGAAATTTGATGAGTATATGGGTAGAGAGAACAATCTCAGTGTTCTTTTTTATTAGCGATCTATCAATGTATTTTGATATAATTTAAAAGACTGATCTTGATTATGAACCTAATGTAAGTTAAATATTCAATTAATTTTCATTAATAATTTTTCTGTATTGATTTTACATAAGAAACCTTCTCTTGATTTTACAATAAAGACATTTTCGATCATTTTTCACTAAGGGTAATCCCCACCTCTTATCTTTTTTGACTATTTCTACCTGTCGAAGAGGTTACAACCAATCAGGTTGACATTTTTACCACGAATCCAGCATCTCAAATAAGGAAACACGTGTTCGAAGAGAAATTTTTCAAAGAGACTTCTACAGAAAACCCTAGTTTTTGTAAGGCCGTATCCTCCAACATGTATTTGCTTATTTTAGATGTTCTGCCTGTAGGAAAAATTCCAGTCTGATCGATTTCATCCTTGTCAAGAATCAAAAATGGTCGTATCCTTAATCCGCCAAAAAGTGTCCGCAATCAGGATGCAGCCGTCTTGTGTTGATTTCTTTCGAGAAAGAAATAGATCTTCTCTCAATGCTTCTATTGAAAAGTGAAAATATCATAATGAAGAAATCTGTAATTTATATGGTCGAATAATGATAAATCGGATTTTCTTTCTTCCTATGAATGGACATGGTTCAATTCCTATTAATTTCACTTTGATGATAAAAACAGTATTTGTTCATGTAACGATTCAATTATCTAAGCGAAATTGAACTGTAAAATTCAGCGAAACAAATATGACTATCTTATATGAGCAATGTCGATAGCATACAAAATTGTAATTTTTATCTATATTACATTATATATCGTAGAGAAAAAATTT